GAGTGGGGGGATGCATGGATAGACCGCCCATCCGATGCACGGATACAGTTGGGTGGCAACGATCTGCATGCATATAAAAGCCACAACTTATCTCAAGGAATCGGTGTGCTGCACATTCGCATTCGAATTTGATTCCTTATGACTTGATTCAGTTGAATTCGATAGTCATATTGGTTGTTGTTGTATCGTCCGTTTTGAAACGGATTGCTTTCTTGCATTCATTCCGGTGAGCTGATCCATTTCGAGCTGATCTGGCTGGTAGGATGGCTGATCCATCTGGATATGCAGCTGCTGATCGAGGAAGAGATCCATTCCGTCCAGCTGACAACGATAGGCCGGCCCTCAATTCGTTCGTGTCGCCGTTCCTGTCGTCGTGTTCCATCGTGCCTCTTGCCCTTCCTTGCCTGCCTTTACACTAGCCTAGCCTAGTCGTTTGCCTGCTGTTTTCATTGATAAAATACCTGAAAACATAGTTAGATATCTAAAATTGTCTATTGAAATTAATTTAGAGACTAATCGCAGTTTGGAAATTTATTACGTTTTCAATCCGGAATCCGGAATCAAATTGTGTTATCTGTTGTGATTCAGGATGACTGAAGACAATCCAAAAGAGCTCCTGATCGAGGCCGAGAGCATGAAGAAGCTCGCCTTCTGCGGCGTTGCCGTCTCGACAGTGGCCACGCTGATCGCCATTATTTGCGTGCCAATGCTGTGCACCTATATGCAGAATGTGCAGTCGAATCTTCAGGATGAGATCAGTTTCTGCCGTACTCGTGCGTTTGCGCTTCGTGGTGAATACACTAAGGTGAGTGTTGATGGTGGTCCTGAAGTCGAGAGAGTCTCTAAGTCTCTAGAAGTCTAAAAATCAGTCACAAATGGCCAGTTTTCTTGGCCGATTCTCACCATTTTCCAGCAAAAATTTTCCATTCCATACCCTCCAAATGGCTCAGGGTCTCTGGCCCTGGGATTGAATCAACCACTAGCTCTCTTTATCATTTTATCACCCCAAAACAACCAGCAACTCCAAGAACTCCACATATGCATGTGCATGTGCATGTGAAGACAGACGGATTTATCTTAAAGATCCATCTGAAAGATATACATAGACATTCAAATGAAGACGATTTTCTCATTTTCTCAAAAGATAAATTGTAAATTCACAAAATATGGAATGTTGTTTCACACAAAAACCACAAATTGGTTTTATAAAAACCATAATTATCTCAAATAAAACAGGCAGCAGGCTCACATAAAACGAGTTTTCGGTGATGATGACTAAGAATAAGACTAGATCTTTATTTCTTTCTTAACATAATGAGACAATTCAATTTCAATCACATCACAAAAAAAAATTCTGCAGATCCTGCAGAACAAGAAGAAAAATCTAACAGTAGCACAATTGAAAACATCAATATCATTTAATTTGTTTTTTTTTGATGATTCACATAATTTCACTTCTCCTAATGCTCAAATTTCAGGTTCCACTTACAATTGGGCAATCCGGATTTTTCTTTTTATTTTTTGGAGAGTGGGGGGGGGTTGCTCTGAAAATAAGCGTGATGTTTGCCGGAGCTTAGAAATTACCGCAAATTTATTTTTTTTGCAGCTGGAACAAGGGCGTGTCAGCCTGAAAGCGCAGCGTGAGCGTGAGAAGCGTCAAGCGACGCACCAATGCTGTAGTTGTGGAATTGGGCCAGCCGGACCACCTGGACCACCGGGTCCAGACGGTGAGGACGGTCGTGACGGTAAACCCGGTAAGCCTGGACCGAACGGACCGGATGCTGAAGAAGGACAGCGGGTGAGTAGAGTTACGATTTATAGCGATCTATAGTCGAGGTTTGAAGATCCGGAAAGCTTGATGTTACGATGGAATATACAATTTCCATATTCCACAGCAATTTCCGCGTATCCGTCTGAAAATCTGGAAAAATCTCAGAGAAAAGAAGCGTAGAATTATTGGATCTGAAAACGCGCGTCTGTTTTTTAGCCAACTGAAGCCGATTGGTGCTTCAACTGCCCAGAAGGACCACCAGGCCCACCAGGACGACCAGGACCACGCGGACCACGTGGACCACCAGGCGACAAAGGTGAAGAAGGTGCACAAGGACCCGCAGGACCACCCGGACGTCCAGGCCCAATGGGACCACGAGGACCACCCGGAGAGATGGGCGCTCCAGGCGAGCCAGGCAAACCCGGTGTACAACATGAAGTGAGCGAGCTTTTTTCTTTCTTTTTGAAGCGAATGCCACAAGTTTCCACCGTCGAAATTTTGCACTCAATTTTTTGAACATTCAGCTGAAATCATTTTCAATTTCCAGGTGCCTGGTCCACAAGGCCCACGCGGACCACCCGGAGAAGAGGGACCACCTGGTGAGCCAGGACCTGACGGACGCCCAGGCCGCCCAGGACGCAAAGGACCGCGTGGCCCACCAGGCGAGAACGGCAAAGACGGTACGAATGGCCTGGAT